CACTAGTTAGATGTGCCAGTTCATCTTATGCCATGCACTGAAATTTAAAGTGGTGTTCTCAGGAACTACCTTTGGCCAGGACAATTGCATCCTCACAGGCCTCTTCCTTCCAGAATAACTTTACCATCTAGGCTTCTGCAAATGCGATCAGCCAATATGGAACAGCAGACTGCTCTGACCTCATGTCATCATCCACCTTTACTGGGGACTAGGCCACTGGGTATTTTGTTTTTCCCTAAGTCATTCCCAGTGTACCTCAACACTTAATAGAATTCATCCCCTCTAACTCCACGAAAGGACCATCATTTGTTGAAAGCTGCTAGAAATTATAAACACCTTTGAAATCTTCTATTGGTCAAGATGTGTCCCTTTAAATTGTGTCCGTGTCCTCAAAGTCAAGTCAGTCCAATGTCTTTAAGGGAAGTGAGTGCCCAGAGTCACGAGAAGGAACGGGTAAACTCATCAGCTAGAGATCTGGGCCTGGCCAACAGGGCAAATTCTGGACTTTTCAGAAAAAGTGAGAATCTGAGAGTTTCAAAGGATTTATTTGAATTCCCCACATGATCACAGCCATGGTTTTACATCGATAAAAGTCTGTTACCACTGACAAACAGAATGCAGATGAAAACAAACGCACTCCTTTCCTTCCAAAAGTACACAGTGGGTGCCAGGCTTCTTGTGAGGGAGGTGTCCCTTGAAGTCTCTGAACAGTCTGGGGATTCAGGACCTGATTCTAATTGCTTCAAACAACTCGGAGGCAAAAGACATCTCCCAAGAGGAGACGCATGCTGTACGCAGTCTCAACGTGACTGCACACAGAAGGGCGACGCGGATGCGCCTGAGGGGAGGGCAGGCCTCCTCCTGCTCGTCCTGTGCTCAGCACCCCCACTGCACCCTGCTCAGTGCTGCAACCTTGACTACTGTTGTTATATAAAATACAAATGCACTCGTTTCTCAGGCAGGAAGGGTGATGATATTTTACAAGGAGAACTGTAAGACGTGCGTGCTTACCTGCGGGCACAGAGCTTCCCGTGGAGCTGAGTCAACACCCTGCCTCAGCTGTGAACATCTGCTGTCTTTTCAGCTCATTGTTAAGAAAAACAAGAGGCTCCTGCCGCATGCAGTGTGTGAGGGAAAGATCACTCTACACTGGGTGCTGAAGACATTTTTAAGCAAGATGTGCACATCATATTAGGATGAACTTTATTTTTACATTGTTGTACAATTCATTGGTAAGCTTAAAAAAATACAAATACCTGATTTGATTGTTTTCCCAGAAAAGACTTTTGTCACATTGCCAGCTGCTCCCCTCAGGGTCTCCTACTCCTGTCAGCAATTTTGTATTTAACTGTAATAGTTCGTGTGACTTGAGAAAGGTGTGCCAAGGGCATCCTCACAGTGAGAAGGGACCAGACAGACATCCTGGGGCCCTTGGCCTCCCCTACCTCCCCTCCTGGGGAGTGTGATGCCAGGACCCCGAAGCTATAGCTGTGACAGGTGGGAATCTCAAGGGGACATTCCCATGAAAGACACATGGCACCAAGCTTACTTTTATCATCACCAGCCATAGAGTGTAAATTCTATCTCTATATCTATTGTTTAAGCTTAAACCCCCTTTTCCATCTGTGTCCATCTCAATTTTAAACTGTAAGCCAGACTATAAATAGCAGGAACGATGTTTATTGAATTCATTTCATAGTGTTCGGCATACTTTCAGGAATACAGGAATATATGTATATGTATGGTTTACTTTAAAAAAGAAAAAGTAATGGTTCCATGAATTTTACATTGTGTCTGAAGCTGAGACTAAGTTCTAGCTTTTTTCTTGAAAAGAACGAACTGCAAAGAGATGCGTTTTGAAGGGAAAATAAACTGCTTTTCACTACAGTATACTTCTGTGACCAGATGCATGGGGGTTTTCCCTTATACACCAAGAAATTCTCCAGCAGAAACCCACTGGGTGTTCTATAATTCAGTTCCATTCTGACACCATGTACCTGCAGTGAGAGTCAGATCCCATAGTTGAGGGCTCAGTCCCACAAGACTGTCCCCAGTTCAGGTGCCAATTGCAAGACCAAGGCTGTGACCTGTGCTTTTGACCAACCAGCTATAAACCAGGGTTCCCATGACCCCCTCCTTGGGTTCAGTGAATTTGCTAGAGCAGCTCACAGAACTCAGGGATAACACTTAATTTACATATACCAGTTTCTTGTAAAGGGTATGATAAAGGATACAGATGAGCACCCAGATGGAAGAGATGCACAGGGCAAGGCATGTGGGAAGGGGTGCAGCTGCCATGTGCTCTCTGGAAGAGCCACCCTCCAGGCACCTCCACAGGTTCAGCTGTCTGGACGCTCCTGAACCAATTTTTCTTTGTTTTTTATGGAAGTTTTATGACGTAGGCATGATTGATTATATCATCGCCCATAAGGGATCAACTCAACCTTCAGCCCCCACCCCTCTCCATAGGTTCTAATCATACCGTGGTCCTTCTGGTGACCAGCTCCATCCCATTCTGAAGCCATCTAGGTGCACCCAGCCACCAGTTTCCTTTTTAGCATCCAAAAGAAACTCTTTAGTCAGAGATTTCAAGGGTTTTAGGAGTTGTATGCCAGGAATCAGGGACAGAGACCAAATATATATTTCTTATTACAACAGGATAAAACACCAGGATTTGTTTCCAACACCATCACCTATTAGCAATGTAAATTTTCTTGTCATTTTCTCTTTCTGGCCTCAGTTTACACATTTTCAAAATGAAGTTCTGGATATGATGACCTCTTGGGTGTCTTCCAAACATGGCTTTCCAAGAGTCTGCTATTTTACACGCTACCAAATGGAAGTGGAGATCTAAAATCATTCCATGTGCTCACAGAGTGGACCACGCCCACAATGCCTTCTACTGCCCCCTTGCGTGCACTGTCACTGATGATCTGCTCCTGAGAGAGTACACAAAGTCAGGACGCAAAGTCCTCTCATTGGAAAATGAAGACACACTCTGTTCTGGTGCTGGTTCTGTGGAGCTTCCCAGAGCTGTAGGCAGTCACCGCACGCCCTGTGCCAAATACTTCGTGTGCTGAACACTCCCGCACTCTTAATAAGCTTGTGTTAGGAGAAAAACCTGGTCCAGGGAGATGATTGAAGGGCTCTGAGAAGAGGGCTGTGGAGGGATGGGACGAGCTGAGGATGTGGTGTACTCTCCTGGATTAACAAAGCCTCCAGATGCCTCCAGAAGGGAGGGAGACAGGTTCTCACTGATAGGAAGACAGCAGCAATGCAGGTCCGACTCATGCATCCATTTCCTGTCATCAGCAGGTGCTTGGTAAGACAGTGCCACGGTTCTGGAAAGAGCTAGTCTGGAAGAAGGAGTCGTGATGCTAGGCTTGCTGTGAAGCCCTGGATGACTCCAGGTGAGTCGTTCACCCCCACCACCTCCCAAACCTTGGTGTTTCCATCTTTATGCAACTAGGTTTTTTTTGAGACCTCATTAATCTGGAGGTGAAACCAAAGAACGCAGACCATAGAAATGGCTACATGAAAGCCCTAGTCCCCAAATACATCTCTTCCAATTCAAAACCTTCTTGGAACACAAGCAGAGCTTGCCCTCCTCTTCTTCTGCACCCCAGGACGTCCACCCTCTGCCCTCTGTCATTCTTCACTCTCTGCTCTACTTGCCTTCTGTCTCCCTTGTGAATCTCTTGTAAATGGAAGTCCTGGTCCCAGCAGTGTGGTGGTAAATGTTTGACAAACAACTTTGAGATTGGGGGCAATGCCTGATTTGTAGGGCTTCCCAACTGCCAATTGTAAATACACTTGCCATGACTAATTTCAAGAAACCAAATATGACATCATTGAAAGCAGGGCTAGGAAAAGAGCCACAGTAGCTCACCAATGTATAGTATTTTCACCATATACATAGAACAGGCGTAAATGACCTCAAGAACACAGATAATAAACTACAGTCAAAAAATTAGGAAAATGGTGTGTTTAACAACTGGATCATTAAATTTCTGAAAAATGCCTGGTCCTCCCTTTTGGATCTTTCCAGATAAGACTGTACATCCCCAAATTTGCGGGAGTACATGGCTGAGGCCTTGCTGTGGGAAGCCTCTCAGGGAAAGTAGAGGCATTTACTTCTGCATGCCATGTGTCTCCCTTTGTTAGCTTTCGTTTCTCCTTCTGTTATATAAGACCTTCCTTCTAGATTCTCCTGCTTTTGTAAGGATGGTATTAAGAGAAATGAAATCAGGGCAGTAGTAACACCTTGCATCTTATGGAATCTTCCAGTTTACTAAACCCAAATCTCATTACTTCTCACAGCAATTCTGTGAAGTGAGGTATGTAGACCAGTGAAGTTTCAGATGAACTATTTCACATCAGGTTGGCAAACTGTTTCTGTAAGGAGGTAGAGGCTGGATGCAGTAGCTCACGCCTGTAATCTCAGCACTCTGGGAGGCTTAAGCAGAAGGATCGCTTGAGCATGAGAGTTCGAGACCAGCCTGGGCAATGTGGCAAAACCCCAACTCTACAAAAAAATACAAAAATTAGCCAGGCATGGTGGTGCACTCCTGTAGTCCTAGCTACTTGGGAGGCTGAGGTGGGAGGATGGCTTGAGCCCAGCTGGCCGAGGCTGCAGTGAGCTAAGATTACATCACTGCACTCCGGCCTGGGTGGCAGAGTGAGACCTTGTCTCAAAAAAAAGTTAAAATAAAATAAATCAACAAACAAATAAATGGGTACAAACTAAACATTTTAGGCTTTGCAGGCCATAAAGTCTCTGTGGCAAGTACCTGGCTGTTACTGGTTGAGAGCTGCCACAGACAATACGCAAACAAATGAGTTTTGCCGTTTTCCAGTAAAATTCATTTATGGACTCTGAAATTTGAATTATATATAATTTTCATATCTCACAAAATGTTATTCTTTTTATTTTTTTCCAGTTATTTAAAAACACTTTTAAAAACCCATTAACTCAAGGCCATATAAAAACAAGCCCTAGGTACTTTTCTCCCATGAGCTGTGAGGGGTCCCTGTTCTTCTCAGCTGAGGCTGGAGGCCAAGATCAGCCCTTGAGGACTGTCATCAGGACTACCTTGTTTTCCTGCCTCAGACAGTGAAAAAACAAAAACAAAAACAACCCCCAGGCAGAATTTGGCTTATAGGCAACAAAAGAGGAAATGAAGCTTCAAAGAAAACAATGACTTGCTCAGATTACGTAGATTAGCAGAGTTGGTCCTGGTGTGGTGCCCAGCCCCCTAAACTTTCCACTAAGCCCACCTGCCACGAGAGGTGCCCCTCCTGCTCCTTAATCACCTTCTGGGACCTGCAGGTAGATTCTCCACTGGGGACCTTCTGTAACCCGCTAAGTGCTTTTGGGTAATTTTCTCTTACTGCCCATTTCTGTCTAACTGTGGTGAGCCTTCCCATGCATCAAAGTGAAAAAGAAAAGGCGTTTGAACATGTAGTCAGGCAATTTGCTCCCCCTCCATTAAAGCAGAGACTGAAGAGTTCGCTATCTTTACAACTGTTGATTTTATGATTCTGTCCCATTTTCTCGCAGATATCCTAAATTTCCACCAAGCAGGGACTGCCTGTTTGTTATTCTGTGCCTTTAGATGTCTAGTCCAGCACTCTCCCTGATGGACACTTGGGAAAGAACTTGGTGACTAATGATTAAGCTCCCCTCCAGCCTGGCATTGTACAAGAGGTGGGTGTGACCCACCTGTGTGATTGATTTCCCCTCAATAGGTTATTACAAAAAGTGTAAAAATTCAGAAGAATTTAAAGAATTGCACAGTGAACACCCATATGCCCACAATCTAGACTCTATAACTAACATTTTGCTATATTTGCTTTACCCCAAATCTGTTCCTCTCTCCATCCACCAGTCTTTTATGTTGTTGACACATTTCAAAGTTGCAGACATTGTTACACTTTAACCTCTAAATACTTCAGTATCATGTTGTTAATTAGAGTTCAATATTTGTTTATGCTTCTTCTTATTGATTTTTGGCCTGGTGGAAATTTGAAAGACTCTTGAGGCTGCCTCCAGAACAGAGCTCCCCACCTACTCCTCTGAACCCTGAAGATTTTACCTGGCTATTTCTTGCCTTATAGCCTTTCCAAGGTTTTGACTATCAATGCAAATACCTTTGGCAGAGATCACTCATTAAGTCCTCCAGTGATGGCTGGAATAGCGGCAACAGCCTTTAGTCAGGCCCGGGTTTGAATCCCTCTCCTCTGTCACTCATAATCGTGTGCCCTTAGGCTAGTTTTTTTGTTTTGTTTTTAATTTCTCCAAGTGTCTTCACATGTAAAGTGTGGCAGATAACTATCTTGTGACGGTAATAGCAAGGACTGCAAATTCTGAACTACCTGTAAATGGCAGTGCAGTAGAATATGAGACTGGGATAGTAACGGTGTCCATCTTCCTGAGGATAGGCTTGTCACAAAAGAATGAGAGCTACTTCCAGCTCCACTCCAGCTCCATTCAGGGAAGACCATCCTAGCTGCGAACTGGATTTAGGCTCTTCTCACATGGGTGGAGTTAACAGCTTCTCTGGGCTTCCACAGTAATTTTAAAAGACAAAACAAAACAAAGCCCACCTTACCATGCTGAGGAGAAGCTGGCTCCACAAGAGAGGGTAGGGAGGCTGCTGTTTGACTGGAACTGGGGAGTGGGTTGAATCCTGGGGCAGAATGTGGGGGAGTGAGTGAAGAGGGGGCTGTGGGGGGGTGAACACCTGCACTCCACGCCCACGCAGCCACCCAGGACACAACAGAACCTCCTCTGGGGTCTGGGGGACGATGGCCACGTTAGCATGGAGGGGATAGACTGTAAACAGCCCTGACCTCCTTGAAGGGACCTTACAGTTTTCAAACAATGAGCAGAGGCCTTTCTCCAAGCTCTGCAAACTGAGTGACCACCCCTGTTAAAGAAAAAATTATCCAAACACGTGTTAAAGATGGCAAGGCAGACTTTATTCAAGGGGGGCCATGGCAGCCCTGTAGGGACCACTGCAGAGGTGTCTTGCGGTGGGGGAGAGAGCTTGGGCTCAGTTTCAACTCCAACAAGGGCAAGTGGAGATTTGTAACCAATGGTCAGGGCTGGGGACAGAGGATCAGTCTTCTTAGAAAACTACTAAGAAGAAACATCAAGGGTAAGGGGTTTCTGGCTAAACTGACTTGACAGGATCATTGCTGAATGCAGGCTGGGTTGATAAAATATTGAGGGTAGTCAGACACCAAGAGTAGGGAAATTTCACTAACCTGACTTAGCAGGATTCTTGCTCAAACTGGATTCTGAAAGGACTTGGGGAAGCCCAAGGTCAGGGCTCGTCAAGCAGAAGACTCAGCGGCGCCTGACTGAGGTTTCAGTGCGAGGAGAGGGGAGGACGGTCTTTGTCATTCCAAACACTCAAACCGCCTTAGGGAGCACGGTGGAACTACCAGCTGGGTAGGTGGGATCTCAGAGTCACATCCCGTTTGGAAAATTAACAATCCATCTTTGCAGCATTCACTCTTTCTTTCTTTTTTTTTTTCCCAAAAAGTCTGTGTCTTGACAGCTATGCCAATGGGCAATGGTCACGTGGTGGGAAGGAGGCAGGGGCTCCTGAGGTTCTTCCACCAGCAGGTTTCAGAGAGAGACCTGAGATCCCAGAGAGGAGAGATGTGGCTCAGAGCTCCCACCACCCCTCTGTGGGGAGGAAGACAGCCCCAGCATGAAGCCAAATGGAGAAGGGGGAGCAAGCCAGGAAACCGGCATCTGGAATCCCCTCTCTTTCTATCCTAGAACAAAAGACAGCTTCCCCTGCGCCCACTCCTCTCCCAATCTGCTATTTCCTGTAGCCTGTCTGCTGGTGAGTAAAAAGACAAATGGAGCGTGAAAAAAAATTCAGCAAAAATAATTACAGGTTGCAACAAATCAATTGGAAGTGTGTAAATAGCCTTAGGCAGGTAGCCGAGTCAGGTTTCTGCAGCTTACCACCTGCCCTCCCATGACAGCTCCAGCCTGAGTCCTGGTGACACGAGAGTGCATGTGAGCCGTGGATGTGATGTTGGAGGATCTGGATGTGAGTCCCAACCCTGTCCTAACCAGCTTCGTGAATTTGGGCAAACGCCTCCCCTCCTCCTAGCTTCGTTTCATCACCTATGAAGCCGAGATTTTGACTGTACCTACTCAGTTTCTCATGGGTGGTTGAAAGTCAAAGGAGGTAATAGATGCAAAAGCACTTTGGATACTGTACAGGGCTAGACACATAGAGCATCTTTTTACCTTCTGAGTATCTCTTGAATCCATCCTCCTCTCTCCACCTCTATCACCAGCTCCTGCCCTGTCTCACCCCGGTGGCTGCAATGGCCCCCTGCCGGTTGGCCTGTATTCACTCTAATGTCTTCAGTGGCTTGCAGCCAGCGTGATCTTCTAAAATCCAAACAAAGTCTGATCACGTACCTTGGGTTGTCTAATCCCTGCGAACTGCAGGGAAAAGTGGAATTGAGGGCTGAGGGTTAAAGGTAATTTGGATGAAGAGAAAGAAACAGAGCTGCAAAGAGGGGCGGGAACAAGGTTACAGTAATTCCCCAAGAGCTCATGGCAGGTGCTGTGCTGGGTGTTGTGAGGGAATGTGAGTCTATTAGAGTATCCTGCCCTCGTGTCGCTTGACAATTCTGTGGGAAGACAGAGTTTGCAAAGAGAAAACTGTCATCTCAAAGACCACCAGGATGGCTAGATGTAGAAGGGAGAGCTTTATTAGTGTTATCGGTTTGCAAGCCGGAAAGAGAAAGTCTCCAGTGTGGATTGAAGGTGCTCTCTCTTCAAAGAGGAGAAAGACAAGTTGGGTTTTATGCCTAACAGGGCCGGTATCATACATATTCAGCAGGTTTGGGGGGAAAGCTATACATATTCATGAAGGGAGACAACACATGCGCAATGGGTAAACAGATCTGTTACAGACATCCCAAGTTCACTTTGGGGCAGGGTGTTAGCATTAAAACGAGGTGGAATTTGGCTCTTTACATCGAAAGGTGAGCTATAGGACACAAAGACAGTTTGTGTGCAGCCTTTGTAAGCTGCTGAAGCTGGCTTAAGGTCTGTAATTGCTTACCAGAAAAGAAGGCTTATAAGGCCGGCCCTTTGTCAAGCCAGAGTTGTAGTGGTCTGGGTTTTAAATCAGTCTGCCAGCTCCTGTTGCCAGGGAGTTTAGCCATGGTGTGGTTTTTCTTATAGTTGTAGGAATTTAGCAATTCGCCATGCCAGCCAGGCCTTGAACCCGCCACCTGTAGGTGACTTTGTTTCCTTAAACTTTGGGCCTGTCTTAGCTGATATAGTGGTGTATATTTTGGTCTTTTGGATCACAAAACAAATGGAGTGAAAGTAAATGCAAAGTTGTGTACTTCTAATTGCAAAATACTTCTGTCTGTTGCAGAAGCCCAAGGACGTACATGGTGAAGCCTCGATTTGAAATGGGACCTTGAAGAGCAAGCTGGATCACCACACAGAGGGAAGGATGAGCTTCTGAACAGGGGACCGGCTCAGGCTAAGACGTAGGGGCAGGGGGCAACAGTGTGGGAAATATGCAGTGGAGAGAAGGTATCAGCATGAGAGAGAGCTGGCTGGACTCTACTGGAGAGCTGGCTGGGTGGTGGGGTCAGGTGAGGCAGGACTTCAAAGTCTAGCCCGAGGCAATGAGATCTAATTTAGGCTAAATGTAGATCATCTGATGAATTATTGATTTGCTTCAATGGATAATTTCGTAGCTCAGAAGTGGAAGAAGCAAGGAAGAAATGCACCACCCTGGACTTAACTCTGACCCGCCCCAGGGAACGCTTGTTGGCCACAGAGTGACCAGGGAGGGCCCTTAAAGGAAGTGACTGTGTCAGCCTGGAGTAGGTCACAGCAGCTTAGGGCACCTTGGATATGGCAGGTGTTAGCACTAAGCTTGAGGAAAGGCCTTGAGAAAGGCCTGCTTGGGAAAACTGAGAGGTCAGTCCCCTCGCCAGAGACTTAGGAATGACAGTGATGCTCATACAGGGAGCTGTGGATAAGTTCCCCGAAGATGGAGGCTCTGAAAATGGAAATCTGTCCTGCAGTCACAAATAATTCCAAAGAGGGAGAAA